CTATATTTTATTTATTTAGGATTAGGCTGAGAAACACTATTCTTTTCAAATTTAATTTGTGACACTAAATTTTCCGAGATCAATACTGAAGTAAAAAAAATAAAATAAAAAAATAATTTATGGTTGTAATCAAAAATAAAAATAAAAATTGAAAAAAGAAAAATAACCCTCTTATTTTTTCTGTTCTACATTTTTTTTTTCTCTTTTCTTTTGTAATCTTTCTTATTCTACAACCATCAATCCCCATTAGCACTACTTATCATCACTCAAAGCCACTATTACCCTCATCACCACAATCCAAAATCACACCTAAAAGCACCCTCCACCACCACTATCACCACAAAACATCACTCAAAACCACCACCACCACCCAAACTGTTATCACCATCACAATACCACCCAACAAATATGATCACTTTCATAAGGAGCAAATTTGGATTTTCAATAGAAATACATTCACATGGGAATAAAATTTTAAAGAGAAATACAAAAAGAGAAACGTTATTTAATACTAAGGAGTCTTTTGAAAAGTTGGTAAAAAATTAATTTATAGCTTTTTATCTATTTTGGGTCACATCACTTCTCACATAACTTATCTATAAAAAAATAAAATAAACTAAAAAAATTAAAAAATTAACTTTTTACCAACTTTTTAAAACACGCCTAAATTTATTTTATCATTTTATTTTCACTTCTTATGAGTATTTATTCATATAATAAAAATCATGTGCATATATGTGTATATGTTTCCATCAACTCGATAGATCCTTTGTAAAATTACTTTTCGGTAGTTGTTTGGTCTGTAATAAAAAAATGGTAGTATTACTTATTTTTATTGTTTTAGATAGGGGATGGTAGTACTACTTGTTTGGTCAAAACAAGGTCTCATTTTAATCACACAACAAAAATTGCATTCTTTATCTTGGTCCCTAGCATAATATACACAAGCAATGTTCTTCCATATTTAGGTTGAGTTTGGAATCAGTATAAAAAAATTATATATATTTTCAATATTTTTGTCTTTAGTAACTTTTTTGTTTAAATTTGTATCAAAATTTTGCACTTTTTAGATTTGTCTATGTAGAAGTATTTAAAAATTAAAAAATCTAAACCAAAGTTCACTATAAATTAAAAAAAAATAAACTAAGAAATGGTCCAAAAAAGTCAATTTTTTTCATTTTTTGTTGTCTTTAATGGATTTTCTTGCAATTTTTATTTATTTTTACTTTTCTAGTTTGTTTAGCTGAGTGAAATTTAGGAATAATTACATTTTACCTCTATGGTTTCACGCATTTTTACATTACCTCCCTGACATTGATAAATTTACTCATAAACCCCTGTAGTTTTGATTGAAGTGTAGAAAGTTTCCACAGATGCTTGTAATGAACTGATGGCATAGTCGTTGATATTATCATGTTGTTGCTACACTTGCTGTATCAGAAGAAAGCTTCGCAAGATGCTTAACATCACGGTATCTCTTGTCTTTTTTTTACTCTTTGATTTTAGTTTTGTAATTTGAATTATATTTTTTATAAACCGCCAATCCGCCCGAACCGTCAAAGCAAATCCGCCATTATTTGCCAACCGAACCGCCGGTTTTTGATAAGAAAAATGGCAAATTCTAGTGACACTTTTATCAATCCGCCACCCGCCATACGGTTTCTATTTTTCTCTCAAACCGCACCGACCCGCACCGTGCACACCCCTATATATATGAAATGCATCCAACTCATGAAATGCATCCAAACCCATCTCCTCCATGTATATATATGAAATGCATCCAATCCACAACTCATAAATCCATATATATGTATATATATATAAGTGAAAGGGCAATTTGGTCACTCAAAATTTCAAATTTGATGCCAAAATCCTTAATTTCAGTGCAAACACGCTTCTTTGGTGCATCTGCCCCACGCACTGTTAAGTCTATCAGATTCCGTCACTTTTGCACTTCAGTCAAAACTATAGGGGATTTATGAGTACATTTACCAACATCAGGGAAATAATGTGAAAACGCATGAAACCACAAGGGGCAAGATGTAATTATTCCTAAAATTTAAAAGAAATTTTTTTAAAATGTTTTTTAAAAAAATCCATTAAAATAAAAAAATTAAAAAGTCCAATCACAGACACATTCAACTTTGTTGAGCACTCGTTTGGCATAAAGTTGCTGGACTAAAATAGTCACAAAAAGATAAAAGAGATTTAAAAGTTAATAAAATAAAATGTCACATTCAAACTGTAATCATTTCATTTTTTTCTTACAAAAGTCAAAAAGTCAAAAAATCAATCCCAAAGTAAACTTTTTAGCCTTAAAGGCCTCATTTGTCAATTTTATATTTTAGTCAAAAAATTAAAAAGTCATTATAAATTGTCACATCATTCTCTCTATTTTTTTACATATTTTTTCGTAAAAAAATAAAAAAATTACAAAGAATTTGTTTGGGAAGAAGGATTGGGTTTAGCCACACAAAAAAAAAAAAAAAGTCTAACAAGACAAAATATTACATCTAATTTATAATCATTAAATTATTTTTTTCACAAAAAATCAAAAAAGTAAAAAAAAAAACCCTTCCCATATAAAACTTTTTAACTCTAGATTAAATTAATTAAAAAGTCAAAAAAACTAAAAAATCAATTCACTTTCCAAACAAATCCTAAAATAATATATTTCCAAACAAAATTAGAATATAATTAAAAAAACTGAAAAGTCGACCCATGTCCCAAAGCAACCCTCTATTTTCTTTTCTAAGCAAATGCCTGCCACTCTGCTAGGTCACCTTCGTTATTTGGACCAGGAGAAAATCTTTAAGTGTGATTTGAGAATAATTATTTTAATTAAAATTAATTCAATTATAATTGATTTTAATTTTTTTATATTTAGGCTAAGTTTGGGAAGTCCCAAATAAGCCAAAAAGCCAAAAAGTTACTCAAAAAGTTAAAAAGTTAACACTATTCACCAAAAGTCAACAATTACGGCTGCACAACTCCCAATTCAAATTTTCCTCTACAAACCAATTTTTACAATTTTTTATTACACATTTTTCCATAAAAAGTCAAAAAGTTAACCCAAACATCCATATTTTCAATCTCAATTTTTTAGTCCAAAAAGACAAAAAGTGCACTTATTTAGTCTTCCCAAACTTGGCCTTATAATCAAATCAATTACCATATGACAACCAATCCAAACGAAACGGTTCTACTATATTAAAAATAAATAAATTAATTAATAATAAATAATTAAAATAAGTAAATTTTTAATATTTAAATCTAACACAAATAAAAAAGTAAAATATTATTTAATACAATTTAATAATTTAAACTTAAACATAATTAGTACAAATTAAATTCATTGATACAATCTATACAAATTAAATTAATTGTGAAATCCAATTAAAGTTTAATACTAGCTTTGTTCATATAATAATTCTTTTATATGAAAAATTGTTAGATGCAATTAAATTCATTATAATATGCTAATTAAATGCAAACATGTCAATATAAATAATTTTAATATATATATATATATATATGGGTTTAGTGAGCAGGACCTAAAGTAAAGACGATCTCAATTCTATCAATTTGATGATTTGAAACTTAAAATCAAACTAATATACTAAAAATCAAACCAACCTAACTCAAAAAAATTCAATTTGATTAGGTTCATCAGTTAAAATAATTTTCAAAAAAAATTAAGAAAAAAACTTTATCGCTAAGCGAAACAATGGATCAACCTTAAAATAAGAGTAAATATTTTCGTTATTTATAATTGATTATCACAATAGTAGAAGAGATTAGAATGAATGTAATTCATAGAATTAAGGCAATGTAACTTATGTGGAGGAGCGCATATGGGATATTGTGTGATAAACGAGTGTCCATTAAAATAAAATAAAAGTTCTATAGAACAGCTATTAAACCTAATGTTATATGGGATGAAATGTTGGACAACTAATAAATAACATATAAATAAGAAGAGTGTTTCTGAGATGAGGATGCTAAGGTGGATGTATGGTAAGACTAGAAAAGATAGAATTAAGAATGAGTTTATTCATGAATGAATAAAAATAGTATCGATAAAAGATAAGTTGAAAGAAAGCAGATTGAGATGATTTGGTCATATCAGTAGTGAAGAGATGCGATATAGTAACAATAATAAAAATATTAAAAGAAGAAGCATACTTAAATTTGCGTGGACAAGTATAATAAATAAAAATATAAATTTCATTAATTTAACTAATTAAATGATCGAGTTGAATGAAAAAAAAAAAATTTCATGTAATCAATTACATTCGACAAGATTTAATGATTGATTTGATTTTATGGTTAAAAATTAATCATGTAAAAGTAACTAAGTAACAATCAGACAAAAAAAATCGTCATATTAATTTGAAAAAGAAAATTGCTTTAGAGCTCTAAAACAGTGGCTCTAAATTAGCATTAAATTGTCTTTTTCCTTCCCTTATTTTGTCTTTTTTTTGTTTTTTTTTTTTTTTTAATAAAGTGGTTGCCAGCTCAGTAGAGCTGCTGTTAGAGCAGCTCTACTTAGAGCCCTCAATCAGAGCCCTTTGAAAAAAGAAAAATGCTTGGGAGCACTAATTAGTGCTCCCACTAATTAGGTGGCAGTGGGTCCCGTCATTAATGATATGATGTTTTAGTGTTGGAGTTGTATTTTTTTTTTTTTTTTTTTTTTTAATGCATTAGTGCTATTAGTGGTGATATTTTTAATGGGATGAATCATTGTTGTTGAAAAAAATATTAGCAAGAGTGGCACATCATTAGTGTGATGCAACCATCCAACAACGGTATTAAGGTTAACCAAAACCGACGTCGTTCTGACCTCGAAAAATGTGACCGTTATAACACTTCACTCTCAAAATCCCGCGAGTACACAGACATTCAAATACACCTGCGAGTACTCAAACCCCCTCACTCTCTTTCTCGGTACTCAGTACTTACCTCTGTCTGCACTTGTCAGTTTCTCTCCTTTTTGTTACTCCTCATCGTGCCTCCTTCTGCTCCACTCTCTCTCTCTCTCTCTCCAGACTCCCATCCCACTTCTCTGTCGCATTCATAGATACATTTTATATATGTGTATATAATGTAGTGATTGTTTGTGTGTGTATGTGTGAGTTGAGTTTGGAAGTGTGATTGAAACAGTGAATCCAATTCGATTCGAGCCCTAGGAATCGAAGATGGGGTGTGCACAGTCGAAGATTGACAATGAAGAGTCGGTTTCGAGGTGCAAGGATCGGAGGAACTTCATGAAAGAGGCGGTTTCTGCTCGGAACGCTTTCGCCGCCGGCCACTCCGGCTACGCCGTGGCGTTGAAGAACACCGGCGCCGCCTTGAGTGACTACGCTCAGGGCGAAGCGGATAACAACGACGAAGATAACCACGGCGGAGCCGCTGTTTTGGAGCCGCCGCCTCCGATGATGGAATCGGCTTTCCCTCCGCCGCCTCCGCCGCTTCCTTCCTTCTCTCCGGCGGCACCGCCGCTACAGCGGTCTGTGACGATGCCGGAGATGTCGGTATCGGAAATGAGTCGGAAGATGAAGCACGTTGCTATTGCTGAGGAGGAGGAGGGAAATGGTGATGTCAATGTAGATGGAGATTTGCGGCGGCGAGATCGGAGAAATGTGGCGGCGGGGGCGGAGGCCGGTGGTGTTGATACGCCGGTGACTCCGCATTCTCCAATGCGGACGCCGGAGCCACCGCCTCCGCCGCTGGAGTTGAAGGGGATGGCTTGGGATTACTTCTTCATGGTCGAAAACATGCAGGAACAATCGCAGAGTGAATCGGAGGACGTTGCGGAGCAAAAGGATGAGAATGAGGAGGGAGGGTTTGATGAGAGATTTGGTGGGGTGGACAATGTGGGTGGGAAGATTGGGGATGAGGAGCCAAAGACGCCGGAGAAGGTGGTGTTGCAAGGGTTGGAGACGGAGGCGGAGGTGACGCCGGTTGGGAACGAGAAACAATTTGTGCATTCGAATACCGCCCCATCGGATATTTGGAGAGGGACTAATAATAATAAGGTTGTTGGGTCTAGTGTGAATTTATTGAAGATATTAGGTGAGATTGACGATCATTTCTTGAAGGCTTCGCAGGCTGCGCAAGAGGTCTCGAAAATGCTTGAAGCAACTCGGTTGCATTATCACTCGAATTTTGCGGATAATAGAGGTGATTGAATCTTCTTTTATGATATAATATGAAATATACTTAATTTCGTGTTTGTTAAAGTTTATTTAAATGATAGGTGAAAACTGAATCATGAATGTTTGTGCAATTTGGAAGGGTAATGCAAAATTTGTTTTAGTTGTTGAATTGATCAATTTTGTGGATGATCTAGAGATACTTTTTTAGTTGTGATTTCATTTCTGTGTTTTTGGAAACAAAACAGTGAAAAGTTCTAAAAGCCCATTGTTTTCGTATCAGCATTGTTGTACTAAAATAGTTTTCAAAAAATTCGAAAACATCTTTTTGATGTATCCTAAAAAGTGGGTACTTTTCAAATAAAAATTCATAACAGTTTGCCAAACAAGTTTTATGTTTTTTTCAAAAAATAAAAACAGAAAAACGATTTTTTGAAAACACAACCAAACAAGTTTTTAAAGTAGTTATTCAGCTCATGAATGATGTTTGAACTTAGAAGTTTGACAGTGATTTCAGGTGATTGTGAAATTGAACTAGATCTTACTATCTTAGACGTGATGCAAAGTGGTGCACTTCTTTGTTGAACCAATGAAGCGAATTTCCTTATTCTATACAATGCATTGATATTAGATGTCACATCATAATGCATTGGCAACATATTGGTTAGGAACATTGCTATTCTTGGAAAGTGGTTATGGAGATTCTCCATTGAATGTGATTCGTTATGGTATTCCATTCTTAAACAATAAGTATGGGTTGCAAGTTAATGGTGGAGATATTCCTATGGTTAGTAGGGGTAGTTATAGATCTCCATGTAAATCTATCTTTTGTATTCTTCTAGTTTTGTCAGCATCACTTTCTTTGAAAGTGGGTAATAGAGAAAAAGTCCTCTTTGAGAGGATGCATGAGTGGGTGATGCTTCCTTTGATGTTGTGTTCACACATTAATGTCGAGTGGCATGTTCTCATAATTGCTTCTTTGGCCTGATCTAGTTTGGCACCTATTTCATAGAATTTCAATTTTATTAGAAATCTTAATGATCAGGAAACTCTTGAGTTGACATCTTTGTTGATTTTTTTTGATGGGTTTTTATCATCTTCCGATGAGTGTGATAAGCGGGTTTGGCCCATTTAGTCTTCTTGTGTCTTTTCATGCAAGCCATTTAAACTTTCCTTCTTTTCCACCTCACAAAAGAATTTTAGAAAATGGTTATGTGGTCTTTGTTCTTTTTTTTTTTTTTTGATAAATAAAATAAAATGGTTTTGGTCTTTGGCTCATGGAAGAATCATGACTAATGATATCTTTCTAAAAAGGAGCCTAATAGCCATTTTTGTTTTCAATGGTGTATCATGTGTAGTAGGACTGAGGAATCTTTGGATCACTTATTCTTGCATTGTGTCACGTGGCGTGGGATCTTTGGCACCGATTCTATCATTTGGCTGATTCTTATTAGGTGGCACTGGGAACTTGTGTACATATGATGTTAATCTATTTATGGGGCTTTGGAGGTAAGAAGAAAGCAGAAGTGCTATGGTATTGTGTTGTATTCTCAATCTTTCTGGTAATTTGGTTGGAAAGGGAAATGGAAGGATCTTTGAGGACAAATTCGATGACTTGGAATCGTTGTGGGATAGAGTGTGTCACTTGGCATCATTTTGGGCTTCCGGTTCACCCCCATTTAAAGGGATTCCTTTGTTTTTTATCTTTAAAGATTGGAGAGCTATTTGTGATGTATGATTTGTTTCGTTGTATGTTTGGTGCAGTCTTTTTTTCATTTGTAGAGGACTCTTTGTCCTCACTCTGCACTTCCTCTTCTTTTTTTTTTTTGGAAGTCTTTAATGCTATCTCAATTTGTGCTGATAAAAAAAACCAATTATATAAAAACTAGGTTGGTATTGTCGAGGCAGAGTTTGCTAGTGATGGAAGCAATCCAAGATTCATGTGAGACACATTCATAGTGGTCCCCTTTCATTCTAAAATTCATTCAACTCCATTAAGAAAAAGGCCCCAAACTATCTAAACACAACCTAAAGCTAGCCGTAACAACTTAATTTTTTTTGGGAAGGCCCACTCTGAAAATGCCTCCACAACCACAAACCTTTTACGTCTGTTGGTCTTCACTTCGTCATGATAACAAAGGAAATCACACCATCTCCTTGTAGCTTTTTTCTGCTGCTGCGGGTAACAAGAAGCATTTAAAAAGGAAAACCATTTATTCACTTGGCTGAGATTATGGATCTTATTTATTTGTATTATTATGATATTGTAAGTTCTAATTGTTTTATTTGGTAAACAAACAATCATTCTTCTAACAATTTCAACTACCATGGTCTATGTTTTGCAGGACATATTGACCATGCTGCAAGGGTCATGCAAGTTATTACATGGAATAGATCATTTAGAGGTGCACCTAATGGTGATGGTGTGAAGGAGGATTTCGATACAGAGGAATACGAGACACATGCCACTGTTTTGGATAAGTTACTAGCATGGGAGAAAAAGCTATATGAGGAAGTAAAGGTGCATTGCCTCATTTAATCTGGTTTTTATTCATAATTTTTCTATGGCATTTAAGTATTATGTTTGGCCCCTCTTCAGTTATCCATGCATACTTTTTTATGTGTTAGTTCATGGATAACAACATTTTGGGTTTTAAGTGATCCTATTTTTTATCTGTGTCAAGGAAATGAGCAATCAGTGTAATTAGAACTAAAATTCAACCCTGTTTTGTCATAATGTAATGTGTAGAAACTGGATTTTCATTTTATCTGTTTACTATCAATTTCCATGTCCTACCCTAGTTTCCTTCATGCTGATTAGGCTGGTGAGCTTATAAAGCTCGAGTATCAAAGGAAGGTTGCCCGGCTGAACAAGTTGAAAAAACGTGATGCTAGTCCCGAATCGTTGGAGAAGACAAAGGCAGCTGTAACTCATTTGCACACAAGATATATAGTTGACATGCAGTCTTTGGATTCAACAGTTTCTGAAGTGAATCACATACGTGATCATCAGTTGTATCCGAAACTTATTGCTCTTGTTAATGGGTAAGTTTCCATGCTAAAAAACATCCCTGAACATACCATTGCTCCACTTTTTGTCATGCTATATCTCTTCGTGCATTGCTTACGAGTGTTTGTCTGCTTTTGCCTGCTTTTTATCTTCCCCATTTTGCATAAAATTGGAGTCTGAAGCTATTATGTTTTAGGGGAAATTAGTGAAAAGTCCTACCCAATGGTTTTATTTTTTGATAAATCCTATACAAAATCTATTAACCCATTTAGACACAATTATATAGAATGCTGAAAGATTAAGTCCCATTTTCAAATTTTAACAATTTTAATGATTGTTTTACCCTTGATTTAAATGGTACGTATATTATTATAATTATTGTAGATATTAACGTTTCTTCTTGTTTTTTCTTCAATTTTTTTGGGTGGCGGATTCACATGATAATCATAGAAATTTTTCTTATTAATTTGAAAACCTAATCAGTAAATAATAGATGAAATCTAATTAATTTAACTGTGACTACTTCGTCTTTGCTGAAAATAATTCCAACTCTGCCGGTGGTGTTGTCACCACCAATGGCATTGATCCTCTAGGATCACCATCATGAAGCTGGTGATTTAACATGTACATGTTGTCCTTCCCTTAACAGCTCTTCTTTCTCATCTCCCTTGCCAATCTATTTCTTTGTTATTATATTCAATGATTTCTATCACAAAATTTTCATGATAAGGTTGTCCCTTTCTCCTCTCTCTCCTTCCTCCATTTTTTTTTTTTGTTTGTAGATGGTTTTTATTTTCATAGTGTAAAAGATTATGAATGTTAAGAGTCGATTAAATATTTTGTAATTCAATGTAAAAAAGTATGAATGCTCACAATTTAAATTGAATTATTTACAGATGCCATAGTGTTTTAGTAAATTTATTCATTGAAAGTGTGAATATTTGTACTTTTTAACTTCACACTTGCCAGAAATTCATACTTATATGTAATATATATATATACATGTAGTGTATAGAGAGGAGTTCAAATGGAGTAAGTATTATAATTGTTGGGATTCTTTTATAAAATATAGGGTAGCGTTTGGTAGAGTTTTGTAAATGTGATTTGAGAGTATGAGTTGTATTTTGAGTTTGTGTGTTGTGGAATTATGATTTGAGTGTAGAAAATTTGTTTGGTAAAGAGTTTTGAAAATAGTTTTGAAAAGAGTTTTGATTTGAGTGGAGAATTGTTGATGTGACATTTGAAATTTGATACAAAAATTTATAACTCATATAACTCAAAATTATTTTAAAGCACATAAAAATTTTTAAAAATTTCAGAAAATATTTTTTTCGATATATATCAATTGCGAAAAAAAAAAAAAAAATCACTATTCCCGTCAACCGGCCGAACGACCGGCCGAACGTCCCATTTTGAAAAAAAAAATTGAAACACGCGCTCAGTTTTGACAGAACAGACAGAGCGTTTTGCAGTGCTGTGGAAAATTAATTCCACAGCTCCATCCAAACACCATACTCAAACTACCACGTTGAATCACATTTTGAAATCACAACCAAACATTCCAATTTTTAATGCTATATAAAATCGGCATTTTTGGTCTTTTGTATAGTTTTGGAACTTTTTGGTATATAGAACATCTTTGGTACTTAATATACTAAAGTTCTATATATAGGATACGACTTTATGTTAAAAACCCCTATTTTGTTAAATATCTCGATGAGATTTCTTGTTAAATCACTTTTTGTTCTCAAGTCATTCATTTGAATCAATCAGGAAAAAATTAAAAATTAAAAATAAAAAATAAGGAAAAAATTCTGAAGCAAATTTAAAGGTTGTCTCAATATTCATAGGATATCATTTTTCTTATTTCAACTGCTATTATTCATAGACACCTTCCATGTGTATCTATTCCAATATCAGGCTCTATGCTCCTTTGTTAACTACCATTTAGCTCTATTGTTATCAATTCTGGTTGTCCTGGGGTTATCGATAGAAGTTGGAAACAATGTTTGTACCGTTCTGCCAATGTTTTTTCTTTTTTTTCCTGTTATTTATTTTTAATGTTTGTGTGTCGATGAGAAGTCAGAAACTTGCTCGAATTGGTCATTGCTCTGAGGTTTTCTCCTTTATTGAAAGGGTAATCTCATGTCTTTTCATGATATCCATCAATATTTTTGCTCAAACTATATTTTAGCACATGCTAGTGAGTCTCATGCTTTCGTATGGCAGAAATTAGCTGCTCTATTGCATTAATTCATGCCTTGACTGCAAAGTGTTCTAGTCCATGCCTGATCTAAGACTCAATCACTGGAAGTCGTGGGACATTATGACCAGCACAACAATGCTAATACCGTTTTGTTATCTTAACGCAGTATGATCAGTGGAGGAGGCACATAGTGCTCAGAGGGGATATCAGTCCCTCAACTTTTTGGATATTATAATTTTATTTATACTTGGAAAATATATTTCCTCTAATTTGTCCGCTAAGTTTCATATATGCCCCCCAAATTTTTTTTTTTAATCCCTGTTTATGTTTCTGCTTTTTTTCTTTATTTTTTGTGTGTGACAAAATTCCTACAATTTCTCCCTTTGAATATTAAATGAATGTAAAAGTCCTGTTTATATTTCACATTCTCTCTCCTATCTCTCTTTCTCACATCTTTTTTTCCCTACTTTTTTTTATAGTTCTCAATCTACTTATAATTACTTGTTCAAATTCTTCTTACTTTTTTATAGTTCTCGATCTACTTATAATTATTTGTTCAAATCCTTCTTGTTTCTCTGTCCATGCCAATTTTGGTTAAAGGTCATGAATCTGGTTATAATTAATTGTTCAAATTACCTATGATGGAGCATGTAGTGAGCCTTGATTACACCTGAGTTTTGGAGTAGTATTTTAAGAACGGGACTGGACTGGCCAGTTTGTTTGACCGGTTGACACATCAACCAGTCTAGGCTTTGGTCCAATGTGTAGGAAACCTGACTGGACTTGGCCGGTTCAACTGGTTGAACCGCCAACCTGTCTTACTTCTAATTCGGACTAACCACTAGAACCATTTTCACCGAAGAATGGCGTATTTCTTTAAAATTGCTTATAATTGCGGTTGCGGTTGGACTGGTGAATCGAAAGAACAAGAGGCAGTTCACTGCAACTGCTGGTTATCACAATTGCACATATTGTTTGTGAAAAATAGACTTTCATGAGACTTCACCACACAACTTGCACCATGGCAGTAGGCAGTTTATCCACTGGACCATTGATACAGGTTGTTGACAAAAGGAAACTATATATAATTTATTATATCATTTAACTAACACCAAATATGATTATTTTTATTTACAAATAATCAATATAAAAATAAAATTTTAAATAAATATATTTATCATATATTCTTATTTTAGAAATAAAGAAAAGCTTTAGAAAAATATTTTAGAAAATTTAAGTTTTTAGGTAATTTTTATTGTAAATTTAATACATATTAATGTATAATTTTTAATATATTTATAAGGTAGTTATGATGTCACTATTCAATTCCAGTTGAACCAGTGACCCTTAACCGGTCCTTCTTCTGGTGGCCAACAGTCCAGTTTTCAAAACATTGGCTTTTGATAATCAGTATCTAAATTGCAGGATAACCAAGATGTGGGAATTAATGTGCATACATCACGACAACCAGCTGAAGTTTGCTACAGACCTCAAATCCCTAGATGTCTCCGGAGCTCCCAAGGAAACCACAAAGCATCATCACGAACGTACTGTCCAGCTTTCGAATGTCGTCCAGGAATGGCATTTGCAATTCGAAAAGCTCGTGATGAATCAAAAGCACTACATCCGAGCCCTAAACAGCTGGTTGAAGTTGAATCTCATACCCATCGAAAGCAGCTTAAAAGAGAGAATCTCATCACCACCTAACATCGAGACCCCCCCAATCCAACTCCTCCTGCATTCTTGGCACGATCATCTCGAGAAGCTTCCTGACGAGCTCGCCAAAAGTGCAATTGCTTCCTTCACCGCTGTGATCAAAACCATCATAGTTCATCAGGAGGAGGAGATGAAGCTAAAGGAGAAGTGCGCGGAGACCAGAAAAGAGTTGTTGCGTAAGAGCCAGGCGTTTGACAAGTATAAGAATAGAAGAGCTTCAATGGATGAAAATGACCCTGATCGAGGTGAAGGAACAAGGGATCATGTTTCGGAGAGAGAGTTTGTGGTGGAGAGCTTGAAGAAGAAGTTGGAAGAGGAAGAAGAAGTTCACAGGAAGCACTGTGTTCAGGTAAGGGATAAATCACTGGGGAGTCTCAAGATTCGGTTGCCTGAGCTCTTCAGGGCCTTGTCGGACTATTCTCATACCTGTTTCGATGCTTATGAACGATTGCGATGGGTCACTCAATCACAGAACCCAAATGGTAATGTTGTTTCATGAGAATCTATGATCTCTTTTTTTGTTTTTGTTTTTGTTTTCGTGTTTTTTTGGGTTAGATCTGTTACCTGTGTCTCAAATATTTATGTTAGTTTTTTTTTTTTTTTTTTTGTAATGTATGTATGTATGTAAGATGATGTTTTTCCTTTGTTTTGGTAATGTCTGCAATCTTCATGTTCTTGTATGGTAAAAAGTCTTGCATGTGTTCCCAAGCCTACTAGCCAGTTTTTTGCCGGGCTGGACCACGACGTGGGCTTAGACCCAAGCTCTACAATAGGCTTGGCCCAGATAGATTAATGGGTGGGCTTGCACACTGGACCGACTGACCCCTCGCCAATGAGCAGCCTAATGGGTCGATTGGGCTTCAAATCCCATACCTAGGCCAAGCCGAAGTCCCATTCAAGTCCAATGTACTTCAGACCAAATGATGACTTATTATGCTGGAAGGAACCTCCACCTGGAGCATTGATTTTGTTGTCTTCCCTCATTTTGCTCAATCCGTTTGTTTCAGGGGAAAATTCATCTGGAAAATGTTTTCTGGAGAAAAATATTTTCCTATGTTTAGTGGTGGTGGTGGTGGATAGTGGCATCAGTGATTGTGTTTTTTGCCTGTTAAAAGTGAAAACTATTTTCTATCCAAATAAGTTTGTTTTTCGTTTGATCATAGAAATGGTTTCTGATGTTTTCTTTGTTTAACATTTTCATTTATACTTATACAGCCTGCAATAAAAATGATCTCTTTTTTATCTGTAGAAGTTTTCAAGTTTTTTCGTAGTGAAAAGTAATTATCTTTTGAAAATGAAGGCGAGGCTATGTGCATTTTACTCTTTTTCCAAACAAATTTTCTAGCTTTTACCTTCTTTTCAACAAGGTCAATTTTGGTTGATTAAATAGAATTTGGGTACTGAACTCAGAATTGGATTTTTCTGTCCTCTTTTTCTTCTCAATTTCTCATTTTTCTCATAAAATTTCTCTGTACATGAAATTTTGATCTATAACATTCAACTAGACAGAAAATTTGGCATTTTAAGTCCCAACCTAATTTATATTTTTAGGATAATTTTATTTGCATATCAAAAAAAAAAAAATCTTAATACACATCATTTATATTGTTTAGATATAAATTTTTGAACAAAATTAAATATTCAGAAGTTTATATCCGAACGGCAAAAATATTATGTACTGAATAAATGGAAATTCTCATACTTTATTCTCTTTTTCTGCATCAATGTTTCAGCCTCCGGTGTCCTTTCAATGCCTATAAACTGAAAATTTGACATCCAAGTCCCAACCTTCACCAAATGACTAACCTGCCTATGTTTTCATCCTTTTCAACATTACTTTTTCAGCCTCCATGCTTATTTTTCTAGGGGAACCTTCTACGAAATCATAATTTTTTAAAAGAAAATGTTATACAACAAATAAAATTATAAACTTTCCTTATTAGTGGATGTGAAAATTAATTCTAAATTGTATTTGTTTACTTAAGTTTTTAGAATCTGTGCTTTCTTTTTTTTTTTTTTAAATCAAAAATTAATCTGGTGAAAAAATAAAAAAACACTGATTATTTTGCACAATTTATTTTGGGGAGCAAAAATAATTTTTAAAATTTATTTTTTTGGTAATCATTTTGTTAATGTGTAGTGTTAAGGCACGTGTTAAAAAGTGTAAAAAAAATTGTACATTATGTATAAAAGCGAGTATTTGATAAACAAACAAATAAATAATTATTTAAAAAATATACAATATTTTTAAGGGTAAATTACACTTTGCCCCTATATGTTTTATAATTTTCTCACTTTGACTCTTGAATTTTTTTTTCTTCCACTTTGTTCCTTCACGTTTCACAATTTTTTTTTTCTAATTTTATTCTAAAGTTGATTTTTGTTCAAAATTAGATAGAAAATAACATATTGACAACTATATGACATGAAATATACTATTATATTTATACACCTCTAACCCAGAGTTAAAATCAAATATAATAATATTTTTGTTTATGTCAAGTGGTTGAAAACGTGACATTTTTTTAATCTAATTTTAGACAAAAAAATTGCTTTAAAAGTAAATTGGAAAAAAAAAATTGAAATGCGAAGGGTCAAAGTGAGAAAAAAATCGGAAATCAAATTGAAAAAAATAATAAAACATAAGAGGCAAAGTGTAATTTATCATATTTTTAAACTTCTATGTACTTTAAGGACAAATATTTAAGACTTTTTGTTTTTTATTTTATTGGTATAATATTAAGGATTAATTACACTAACATCCTCTCAACTATTAGCAAAAAATCATTTTATTTCTTATTTATGAATTTATATATTTTAATCCTTTTAATTATGAAAATATTACTTACACCTTTTTCACACCACCTTCAAAAATATATTTGTACGATTTTTAAAGTTTAAATATCAATATGTATTAGAATAAAATAATACTTGTTAATAATTAAGAAGATCTTAATCTAATTAATCTTAACATTAATTTTAAGAGAGAGAGAGAGAGAGAGGAATATTTTGGAGTGCGGCTACCAAGTCTTTCGGCGGGTTGTCTTTTGAAAATCGTGAGCTAACCCCTTTTGCTTTTTCTTTCAATGGCTTGTATGGCTTTGACTTGACCCAATAAGCCACACTTCAAAACTGAAGCTAAGCTGAGCCAACCATACCAAATATTTATTTATATATCAAAAAAAAATATCAAACATAACTTTCAAATTCCTTTCGGTTGCAAAACATTTGACATTTCAATTTAAGTTGCCTCTTCCCCAAATGCAAAAATAAATAAATAAATATATTAAAACAATTTTCTATATTACTATCAAATGGTTACCCATTAAGCATGGAAAATGCTATTTAAAGTACCAAAATAATGCTCTAATTGTTTTAATAAAATCTACTTCTAAATATAAAAAGAATAGATGTGTTTGCCTATGTTGTATTTTACTTACAAAGTTTAATGAGCAATCATTGAGACCCTCACTTCACAAGACTCTTATAAATCTGAACGACTCATAATGTAGACTCCACATATATATGAGTGAGCCCCACACATATATGGAAAGCTAGAATCGCTTTGGGGGTGTGAGGATCATTCTCAAAGGGGGTCTCAAACTTTTTCCAAGTTTAATTTTGTTACATATCCTTATTAAACTACTATAAATTATATACATATTGAATGACACACCTTAAAAATAGCTTTGGTTGAGATGAGTTTTGTTGGAGTTTTATCTTATTTAATAGTTACGTTATAGTGGTGTATACTCTCTCATATCTATACTATTATATATGTATTTTATTATTTTTTGAATATAATCGATCTTGAATTTGTATGCATTATTTTTTCTATGAATTTTTACGTAAAATATAAAAACTTTGTTACAAACACATAATACATATGAGTAGATAATAATTGTGTAAAATTTTTGATGAGATCCAATTTTTTATCCAAAAATATAAAGAAATGAAATCCATCAATCCCAAATAAGCAAAAGATTAATAACTCTTCCATAATTCTTGCAAGTTTTAGATAATGTTTTCCACAATTCTTGCAAGTTTTCAACTACTAATTCAGTTAAAGCCAAGCCAGCCTGTCTTCAGGATAAAATCAGCCACTTCCTAATCTTTTAAAATCCTATATATATATCTTCTCTCCCTCTTTTGTGTATATATATGTAGTCAACAACAACAACAACAACAACCAATTCACTTACAAAGATCCATAGTTTTTGATAGAACAACTATTTTGATCTTGATTCCAAATGGGTATCATCAAAGATTGGCACAAGTCTCGCAGCCAAAGCGTTCGATTAGGCCAGAGACAAACACAACAACAACAAGAACAAGCATCCGATGAAGAATCACACCCGTGGCTGAAATTTTGGAGGAAAATCAAGAGAGAGAGGAGGAAGAATAAGAAACAGAGCAATTCCAATTCCCCTGTTTCATTGCAGCAGCCTACATATGATCCTGACACTTACTTGCAGAATTTTGATGATGAAGGGTCCAGATGGACTGAACCAGATTTCCTCTACCGGTCTTTCTCCGCCCGGTTTGCTGATCCATCTAGAGCTTTTTGTAGGAATGCAATGGTGGGTTGATGTTTGTGAAGAATAATTCAGTATATAGCTCATTGTGTGTGTATGTGTTGTGTGCGTTTGTTCATTTTTGTAAAATTGAGGTTTTTGATGTTTATATACAAGGACTTTTCAATGTATGTACATGATTTTCTCCCTCTCTAATTTCAAGCAAAAAAACAATTAGTACTTGTTAGATATGTTTTGTTCATGATGTTGAACAATTCAAATACTAAATGCAAAAAATCATCATTTTTGTTTTTGGTAAATGCAATTTGGAGCTTGAAATGACCAATTCATTCAAACTTCATAGTTTCTTGGTTTAAGCCCATGTTGTAGAAAATGAATTTAGTATGTTCACGAGGCTCAAAATTGAGCCAATGGGGTTCTAATCCAATAGCTTCTATATGCTTAGTGCTTCTTTAGTTTATATTTGTATAACTAGTCACCCATTACAACTGTCACTTAGCAACTCCCCTTCTCCACATTTTTAACAAGAGTCTAGCCGTATAAACTAATCCTCAATAAAATTATAAAAAAAATAAAAACTCACAATTGATCAAAATGTATTTTGTTCTTCCATGAATTTCTGAAATTTGAGACTACATTGATGGATGAGGTACTCTCTTACTAGACTTGAAGTTTGAATTTGAGTATCACTGTTGCATTGCAGGCTGTACTTTGCCAAAGATTCATGGTCTCTCTTATCTTCACCTTAAACTTGAAGTGAAAGACACCATGGTAAAAAGCTAAAGGCATTAGCTTTTGTTTTTGTATTTTGCTTATTTACTCATGGCATCTATAGATGCCTTGTAAACATCAAATCATTTTAATGTAATACAACTTCATCTTTTAAGTGGTGAAATTCTTGCTGAAAATATATAAAGGGTCTTGTTAATAACAATTCCAAGAACTCTTAATAAGAAGTATAAAATATCAAAATATTTATAATTTTAATGCACTTTTTACATTTCTAAAAACATTTTTTACAACTACTCTATAGGGTTATCTTTAGCATTTTTCATATATAAATTGTATGTGTAAAAGAAATGAGGAATCTTTGAATGATTTATTCTTGTATGGTTCTTTGGTTTTGGTGATATGGTATCATCTTT